GGTGTGAGAGACTCTGTGAGTGTCGCGGGACACTCTCCAGTATAGCTCAATGGATCGCTGAGGTGCGCAAACCGTCACACCACGGTAAGGTCCAGTCTCTTCGTGACTCACTGCTTTTCAGAAAAGCTGATGTGTTCTTGGGAGTGTCTGGGAGTATCCCAGGCCGTGGCAATATCCCAGCCCACATACAACAGTGCAACATCAACCGTCGCATGGTGTTGTCACCCGAGTACCCTTACTTTCCGTATACAACAGAGTGGGCAAGCAGAAACAGGCTATTGCTGACGGCTCCCGCACCAGAACCGCCTTACCGCTCCCGGCTAGGTGCTGATGCGGTCAAGAGGCCTAACCGGCATGCGGTTAGCTGGAAGATTTGGCCGGTCTAGATCAAGGCAAGCTCTGATGGGCAAAATGTGTGGATCCAACAGCCAGCCATGACTCGGCGTGGGCGAGATGGCCTAATTGGTTAGCTTGCGAATTTACTGCCCGGAAGGCCTGTGGTTCGAACCCGACCTCTGCCTCTCGAATTCCCCTGTCTAGGCTTGGGCAACTTTGCACTATCCCAGTACTCGTGCCTCCTTCGGGTGGAATGGCCGCTAGGCACCGGAAGGGTGCTACAGCTGAACGCATGACTCGGTATCCGCATTGCCGGTTAACACCGGCACATTCAGAGGGTGTCGAAATTCCCAAGTATTATTATACATGTAAATATAACGCGCTGTACATGTGCTTTTGATCCGTTTTGGGGGTTTAATACACGTGCACCTTTGGCGGTTCTTTTGCCGAAAGCGCTAGTTTGAAAGGTTCAGACTGAGAACTGGGGTGAGGCACTACCGTTATTTCACCCTTCTTGCACTCTCGTGTTCCGTTTCCTGCCCACCGAAATCTGAATGATCTTTCCACAGGTCCCAGCTCTATGACTGACCGATTTGCTCGCTGTGCATGACGCTCAGCGACATCTGTGTATTTAAGTCCAGTAACAACCTCGAACACTCCGAAGTCTGTTTGTAAGCCCCCAAAACCGGACTACTTGGATGCCTTTAATATTCACACACGGAAACAAGGAAGACTACAAGCGGCTCTTGTTCATTCACTGGATTCCCTCTGCATTGATGTTATCTTTCAGAAATAAGAGTAAAAGACACAAGTCCTGTAATTGGAATAACTGCCCCGTCGTCCTCTCGGTTCCGACGGTGACCTCTGCTGTTGCAGAGGCCGCTGCAGCTGGATATGCCGGGGTGAGTGTTGTATTGACCGACCGATCAAAAGCGTCTACATGATTGGATACCCGTTGGTGGTCACCTCTGCTCGGTTCGTTTGGCAATTTCTGTGAAAGGATCCCGTAAAGATGAGATTCAACGCACACCCTGCTCACACCCTGATGGACTGTAGCTCTGAATCTGACGTTCTAGGTGCTTATTTTTACAACCGCTAAAAGCTCAGACGTCCTTATGATTGGTGGTGACATGGACGCACAGGTAGTTAGACTAAGCGCTGCTGAAGCCCGATAGGGTGATTGTCTTGGTTTGGGTATGAGACGCACGGACAACGGAGGTCATCTGCTTCGGATGTGTGACGATTACAGACTTTATCTACTGTACCGATTCCCTTAACATCGGAAGTCGCTTGACTAGTGAACCAGCCCCGAATACAAATAGACCATATTACTATTAGTTGACGGTGGCGGGAATCGATCACTGCGCACCGCTCCTTCTGGAATATCGGTCTATACTCTGGCCGTGCACTTGTTGGCTGTCCAGGTCTACGCAGAACGCGCATACCCTGCTTAGTCATTGGGAAGCTAGTGGATCCGGAAATCAAACACTTGTCTTGCTGTTTCCGATGATGATCATGATGATGGAATAATGTGACAGCGTTCTCACATTTCAGGCCATTACGCCCGCACAAAATACTCTAAATATCACATCGGAAGCCGTTTCTTTTTTGGCGTACACTTCGTACTTTCCAAGTGTAGTTTTATTTATGAAATTTCCGCTCTCTTGAAACTGAAGTGAATGACGTGAATTCGGTGTTAAGTTTGCTGATCTTGGTAGTAGCGCAAGCGACGAGTGCATCGTAACAGATGAAAGCAGTGCACGAATCGTCAAAGCCTGAGCTGTAGTCACTAACTTGCATCATCTCTGGCGTCAAAAGCAAAGTTCATTTCCCTTATAAAACTCCTTTATAAAACGACCATGACAACCTACCTACCTTATGGGTGTGTTGCTTGATCTCTGAATTGGAGGAATGTAAAATCTCCGATTATTTGATCATTCTTCTTCGTTACATAGTAGACATTGACTGGCTAAATCGTTTCCTTAATGAAATAATCCGTAAGCGAGTACTAGGTAATGAATCAGAATCGTCTGATCAACATACAATGTTTTTCCGGTGGCTGAGGCATATACCACGCATGTGGGACCACAACCTGCTCCGAAAATAATGACTTTCCAATTCGCACTCATGGTCCCGCAAAACGAAAGTAACTACCTCAAGTTCAGCGCTGTGCGGTCTTCACTCCCTTTCTGGATAGGGTTCACATGATTTTCGTTGCGCGTGGTTTAGAGTCCCACATGACGCGTGGTACGTAGCAGATCCCAATAGCTAGCTACTTATCACCTAGCTGGGCTCGCCAGTTAACGCTCTGTCGTTTTCCGAAGCTATGTCGAGTGAAGTTCGCAATGTAGTATGCTGCTGATGGTGTCTTACTCTAACGTGACAGTCAGTTGTATTTATTTTAGTGATTTTTGGAAGCGTAGGCGCTTTTTAAAATAAGCGTCTATCTTTGTCTGTTGTGCACTGGGACGTCCCTCGTAGCTGTATGGTACTTAAGCACGGGTTTACACTATTGATGTGTTACCGATGTTGATGAAATCCAACTAACTTTCCGTTGAAACGTCTTAAAATCTTACCGATCGATTAGCGCCTACTATTAATGTAGTCCACTTATCTAAATTCTCATGACATTGGTCAGTCTATCCACAGTGTTGCATAGACCTGGGAGCGAACTTCTGGCCCTTAAGATGGTCAGTTTCACGGCATTCTCCACTTGCTCCAGACGGCCAGTGCTAGCTCCAGATTCAGCAACTCATTGACCGTATGAGGTTAAACTCTCATAGGGAAGTCTGAAACGGGGGTTCCAAAGTTGTTACGGTGTAAACTTTTCATAGGTATCTTCATCTCATCTAATTCATCGTCGAAGGAACAGTTGGCGCTTCTCAACCGAAATGAATAAGCCATAAAAGTTTCCATGCTGGCAAGCATTGTTGTGCCGCTATTTTCAGATATGCTTTTTCATCTAGCTCGAGGAACAGACCAGTAAGCAAACCGCGCAACCGGGCCGCCTATAATCCACACCTATGCCACTAACTTCTTGTGTCACTTGAGTGCTGGAATAGAGTTAAACTCTGTTTGAAGAAATCACTTTTGTATGGTATGGTTGAAAGGACTAACACCCACTCCAATTCAAACCAGCGCTTTCCGAATATCGAAACGATATTTCTGCCAAGCCATTTGTGGAGACTGTGCGAGTAGCTTACCAGCGACATCAACACTAACTGTTGTTTCACCCCGTAGGTAAATGATCAAAGTGGATAAATTTGGCATGGCGTTATAGTCAGTAACTTGAGTAAAACAGTATCTGTTTAGTCAGCGGGATATCTCAAGTTCCGTTTTCATCCCTGTCATTCGTACCCCTGGTTGCATCTTCTGCCTTTCCGATTCTCGATCAACCAATTCATAGTTCCCCTTTACAAGTACCAGCCCATCAATAAATGAGGGGTTCAAAACATTCGAAATTTTTGCTTGATGATGGAGTTTTCATGTCACGTTCAGGATGGCAATGTGGACCTACGAATTAGGAGTCAGAGGGTCTTTCATAAACTTCTCATCACACACTACGGGACGATATGCCACTGCGCACGGATATATTAGATATGTTGCAAGCTGTTAGGAAACACGCTATTCTTGTTTCCTATTACCAAACACTAATAATGTCATTTACTTTTATCTCCTTTTTGGTCCAGCCCATAGGCAACTTGAATTCAGATGGTTCTTCGCCTCGAAGGACGAATTCCGCGTCTCAGCACAGTGTTTCTAAATCCCACACCGTATCTGTGGAAACTGATCAGCATATCACTGTTTTCCCTACCAATGGTGATCACCATTCCGAAGACTCTGCTGCCTGTTCTGATAGTCCCGCACCCAACGATCCCGCCATCATCCTGAAAGAGCTAACTGTTGCTTTACGTGATTGGACCAATGCAGCTCTCTCCCAAGAGAAACGAGCGGATTTTTCGGCGGTACACGGAGCGCTTGTAGATAGGATTGCACAATTGGAGCGTCAGGTGTGCGAACTCTCTTTACAATGCCAATTGGAAAAGAAGAGACGCTTGATGAATCAAGAAGTATGTGTCAGGGGATGCTTCCGATAAAGCTCTTTGACAAAAATTATCTAGGTTTTAATCCTGCTTGGGTTCTTCAACTCTGGGTCCCTATTTACGAATGGCTCTCCACCCTTATTGACAAGGGTAAATATTCTTGCACGAAGTGCATCGTGTAACCAGGTTTTCCACACACTGTTCACAAGATCCGCCATATCCTCATCTTATCGGAAAATAGGTATCTACCCAAAAGTGTTGTGCAACCGCAATGGTGATTGGAAGCTGCGAAACGGGGTAATCGGACAAAGCAAATTTCAAGCATGAGAATCATCACCTGTTCAGGCTTGATGGTTCAAGTACGTCCAGCGTGTGCTGATGAATTAGTGCTAACAAGTTCGCTTCGCAATGGTCAGGTGTCCAGAGTTCAAATCCCAGGACGGCGGAGGATTGCACTACTGGTGAGCTCTAGTAAGAGTGAAACTCGAAACCAGTGCTTACCCTCTTTAATATGGACCCACCAATACAATCGTGTCATGGCTAGAGTGTTGGACCGTTTAAACGGTAGTGATGCGAACACGAAAGGAGGATGATTCAGTACATTATTAATGTTACGTACATTTATCTCCTTGGAATCGCATTCTAAAAATTTCGTGTGTAGCTAATCTATGAAGCTATAAAACTGACCTTTTCACTATAACCTGCTGACTGCCATTATACAGTCTCATCGTATCGAAACATATGAGTACTTCGAGGATGCCGATGGGGTGAGTCCATCACACCGGGGATGATTTCCATAGACCTTAGTATCAAAGGACCATGTTGATAACGCTAAGTGGCGTTTTTCGTCCGGAGAGTGCTAAGAATACATCTGGTTCCAGTTCTTCTCGTTCTTCATTACACTATTGCCCCCACCTTCTGGTACCAGGAACAGGAATAAAAGCGACCTATTTCACTTATTCCTTCTCAAATTCCTGTACGCTTGACTGACCCTATCCTGGGGCGATCATACTTCTGCAAACATCATTCATGGGAACGTGAAAAAGTGTTTTTAATGATCTATAGCGAAAGTTCTTGACTTCATGGTCGTTTAGGTGGAAACTATCTGGGCAAACCATTATGTAGGATCGGGTGGGGCAAATACGCTAGTTTAGCTTGTCAGACTTTGATAACGGTGAAAGAGACAGTACTTTTCAGAGAATCATTATGGGCCCTAACACTAGAGTATTGACCACATCATCATCATTATGGACAGAATGAAATCAATGTTTAACACTGATGCTTCGCTGCCGTACAACCATGACTTATTTGGAAGCACTATGGGAAAGAAAAGAATAAAGGTGGACAGGGAAGGGACTTACTACCTTACTACAATCACTCCAAAGTGCCCTACGCCTCCACTGTAAAAAGGTCCGAAGCATTAGACTGCTCATGTGAATGCCTCAGCGAATTGCTGATGTATTTCGATACGAGGCAACCGCCGGAGGTAGGCCACTATGATCCCTTTGATTGTGTTACCGACGTGGTGTGAATATGGGGAACAACTGCATTTGATCATTGGAGGTTGGTGCTATTTAATCTTGCAAATTCAATGATTCACCCCTCTAGCTTTTTCCTGCGCACGCATGTCACTCTTGACCAGCTTAGCAACAACGTAGACTGTTTTCTGACTTCATTTCCTAGCCATCTACGGTTTCTGTCACACCTAGTTATTTACAGATGTTGAACGATTTCATCAAACTATCTACTCAGAGACATCACAGCAAATATTCAAGAATAGCCGTTATGGGCTAAGGCTGTAAAATACTAGGGTTCAATCCAGATCTTATTTGAGAACTCGGACATTTTCTTGTGAAACCTGATTGTGTTTACTCAATTCATCGAGTATTATTTGGGTCCACAGCTTCGTCCTTAACATGTCAAAGGCGACAATGCAGGTCTGCCTGACTCGTTTTCAGACTTTCAAAATGTTTAACCGAACCGTTGGTAAGGCTGCCATGACGAGAGATTGCGGATACGATAGCAGCATTTCGGCACAGGGGAATGCTATATCCCGTAGTTTCCGGACTTTCACGACACACCTTACACGACTAAGCAAAAGAACCTCGTGTTCGAAAGGGTCTTCCGTAGGCTGTGACCGGGTATATTTCGCTGCGTCGTTGCACGATCGGATACTAGGTCTCACCCGTCCTTTGGATAGCATAGCATCATCAAAATGCAGAGAGGCGTCCTAATATGTCATTAGGTATACTAAAACATGTCCTAAAATTGTATTGTCTTATCCTTTACGTGTTCTTATATCTCTTGAATCTAGCAAACTGATTCCCGTCCTTCACAACTCATGCGGGTGGACTGTGATGATAACAAAACGACGGCATGCATGCTGCCCCAGAGATCATTGTCTGAAAGCCTTGTAATTGATGGTTTGCAACAACGTATCCGAACCCTAACAGACCAGGCTCAGTACTTTGCCGGTCTGGCAACTTTTCTACAAGAGGAGGTGAGTACTTAGAAACTGTGCTTTGCCTTTTACTTTGTTGTGATGACGGTCCTACTTCGTGTGTCAGCTGCTTTACGGGCTTATCCATAAACCGGACAAGTTGTCCCAATCGTTCTAGTTACGTGTTTTTGTGTCCGGTTAGTGCGAACGTTGGATAACGAACCCATAACACTAGCGCGCATCTGAACCTAATCACGGGCTGTTGGATTTTTCACAAGCATGGCTTTTCTTTCAGTTTCTTGAGCTTTTCGGATTATTTTAAAGGTCAACTTGCTATCACCATCCCCTCCATCCATTCCGTCGACGCAGAGTTCTGCAAGTCAGTCGAGGTTTTTGGTTAGGAATTGCATCGCTCCATCCACTATGTGCCTAGTAATTGCCTCAGAATCCTCGTTGCTAATAGGCGCTACTAAAACCATTACATCAGAACCTCCTTAGACACCGAGATAACGTTAGCTCGGGATAAGGTGCCAAACAACTCTCCTTAGTAAGTTATAAAAAGAATCCAGAATATACCCCTCATATTCTTCTGCCTCGAAATTTCATCAGCGATCTTCAATTAAAAACCAATGGATAAAGATGTCGGGGGGTTCTGGAAACCTCGACCACGCGACCGCTTCCCTCTCTATCAGGATTCATGGGACGGGTGGTCGTGCGTTTCTTTGACTGCTAAAGCACGCCCCCTAACCGTCTCGAACAAGTGAATTTTTATTGGAATTTATTACTCGCCGAATCGTCCATTAATTTCTTCAGGTAGTCATCTGACTAATTGTCGGTGTTTTATCGGATAAGGCATTCTGACTATTCATTAGTAGTGAGGTGACTGGCCGAATGAGATAACGACTGGTTTATCTGAGGTATGCTCTTATCGAAAAGCGTGGTTTACCATAATCATATCCAGATATTTCGAGCAAACTTCCAGATATTACGCGGTAACAAAATGATCACATAGTCACTGTTGCAAGCATTTTACTGATTTACTGACCCACTCTATCGACGACTATTCAAATTGAGTATTGAGCACAGTTTTAGATAAGCCATTCCCCGGGAATTTTTAGCGAGCGTAGCTCTAAATAACCTCTCAAAAGATACGTAATTAAATTAGTGTGTAACACGCCGCCTGTTTGGGCGCATGATAGCCGGGCCGACCAGTCAGTCTTGTTCTGTCTGTTGTCCATACCGTCCATTGATAAATGTGGTGGTGTCTTCATGAATTTTGCCGTATGAAAGACTGTACTACATAGTTAATCCGGCGAGGATTTGGAAATCCACGTACTGATTGCCAATGTTCACCAAATGCCCTAACTTAAAGTTTAAAGATTGTCCTTTTACCTGCTATCTGAATTTCATATTTAATAGAAGTAAACTGAGCAAGGTGCCGACTGGTCGGTTTATCTTGAAAAATTGTTCAAAAATGCTATGTATATATAGAACGTTATGTGATAGCCTTCACCTTAAAGCAACAAACATACTTCGTGATATGGTGCACTTTTGTTTCTCATGGTTAGGAATGAATGGTGTGGCTCAGTAGGCGAGTTGAAAACGGTAGATTCACTGATGGACGCAACTGTCTCTCGTCTCAAGTCTCTCTTCGACTGTTTCAAGCGATACTCTGAACTAATACTGCTACGTTATTTGTGCAAATATGGCTTCCGTACCAAAATTTCTTCAGTACCATGTTACCTTCGCATTGCTTTCGGCGGCTATAATAATTATTGTCATCACGATAACAATAAATAATCTTTCAGCTGCACTGTCCTTCCGCTGCCTAGCTGCCATGTCACCCGTAGGGATCAGGGGGATCAAGCCTGGACAAGAGGCTGCTGTTGCAAATGAGTTGATTCTGTGACCGGTTTTAACTAACAGCAGTGACTGCTTGGGAGTTAGCTTAGCTTTTCATTGGTCATCATGACTTTCGTCTGTAACCTGACTTCAAATTATTTGCACGTCCTTCAAACTATTACGGTTGCTGTGTTCTCCCATGGTTTGAATACTGTGCGATATTCATTATCGATGAAATGCTAAACTGGTCACAAAACTTTATCTAGGGTGCCGTGTGACACCATTTTAGCTTTCGTTATATGCGTCTGTTATCCGCCATCCAAATAGTAAACTGTGCACATTGCAACGATGAGCCACAAGGTTCCATTTGCGTTCAGGGCCTATAGACGTGTTGACGTCAACTAGACTAGCTACGAAGTCATGATAAGGATCTCTGCTTCACCCGCACCAACTGTTTCATCCACCTAAGCATTATCAATTACTTCGAGACCGGACAAAGCAAATGTGAAACGTGGACTATAACATTTCCAACCCTAAAATTGGATAACTTTTTGAGTTGTATCACGATGTCCCGCTGATTTAAGTTTGCCAAAGTTGTTCCCTGTTGACATGGAATAACTAGCAGCACGTCGATTTTCTTGGCCTTGAGCGATTCTACACAGCCACTTCATATTATATGCGATTTTCACACGTGGCGACACCAGGCTATCAATGCCTGTCGACTATAGGCCTGATTGTTTCCAGAATTCTCCTAAACACAAGAATATAATCACGTTAGTGTTGCACTTCAAGATCGCACTCGCTGATATGCGCAACTTAGTGCTATAAACATTCACAATTTCTTCGGATACCCGAAAACGCAGCTTCCAGAGGCCTTTCATATCCACTATGACTCATCAGATGGATTTGGAGGACAGTGGAGTAAACCCGAACTTTGCAGTGCATTGCCACCAATGTCACTGTGCTGCTGAGCATATCGCTGAGTGGTTTATTGCTTCTGATCGCATATATTACCTCATTAGTCACCTCATATCTATAACAAGTTTGTTTCCCCCCAACTGTTTCATTTTCCCATTTCAACGCATTCTGTGTTGAACTAAAATACATAAGAGAAGCCGATACACCGTAGATTCATACAGCTCCAGAAACTGCAACTGAGGAATAGTCTTAACACGCATTATACCTGCCTAATGATGTGTCTTATCATCAACCTGTGGACTTCAATCGTGAAATCTTCCACCTAGGCTTGAACAAGCTGAGTGTCACATCTTTCGTACTCTAGAAGGGTGCCACAGGTGACTTAACTCGGGCTTCAACTCTCTTATCAAGGACATCTGTGGTCCAAAGCCGTAGATTTCATCCATGTCCCGTCTTGATGTGATTTTTATAGCATAGGGTTCCATACTGATAAAAATCGTTACCTATTCCTCTGTTTACTCTCTGTATAAACTATTTTAGGTTATTTCGGCTGAGGTAGCGACCTTTTTGCTGCCGTCTGACCAATTTGGCGACAAGAATTCTCTAATGCTGGGCTTGGTTTCACAACGTGACAAGTATATCTATGACTAATTTGCATTTGTGTAGCACCTCGTTCTCCTCACCGATTAACCTTAACAATCCAGCAAATGTACCTTCAAACCATAGTATGGTGTGCACTTGCCGCAGTACATGGTGCTCCGTGCAACCGATAGTTAATTATGGAATCAGCCGCTTATGCATATTTTGCAAATTGAATTGAGAAAAACTCACCGTACGTACGGTTACTGACCTAGTTTCCTCGCTTATGTGGTCTACTTTTCTGGTGCTTTAGGGGCGTTACTTGTACTGCCAAACTAGCAGTTTTGCTCACCAATTTAGCCAAGCTTACAGCCTACAAGTAGGAGTTATTCACTGGTGATTCGCACATTCTATTTATGGGTTAACAGTGAAAAGTAGCCGTGTTATCAGCCGATTATTAACAAATTATCTTTGTTATTTGTGGTGGCGTATTACTTTGATCAACAGAGTGAGTTGGCAAAGGTTACATCACTGATTTAGATTCTGAGCTTAGTAGCTGTATAAAAATACAGTGCTTTAGTGTGTAGGTTCCGTTCGGGAACTGTGCTCAACTTCTCTATCAATGGCGCTAGGGGCCCGCAGAATTGATGACGATGGTTCAATATTCCATCTGTATCCTTTGTATGATTGAATTCTGTGTCAGATCAGCTAACAGACATCTTCAGTATGTCGCGAGTTTCAACTCACAAAGCTATTCATACACGACTTCTTTTCGGCACACCCCTACGGTGCGATTCGTAGTGAAGTGGTTCCTGCGGTCAAAACCCCGGGTTGTTTGTGTGTGTGCCCACACGTTAACCTTCATAGGGAAGATAATGGTTACCCTACTACATTGAGAACTTTCCCATAATATTATTTATATTATTATTATTATTATTAATTATTATTAGTCAGACTGCGACGCAGACCTCCATTGTGCTCGTGTGGCACTGCCATACGTTGGTTTCAGCTTTGCACGCATCAGACGTGCCTGCTTATATCTCAGCTACTCCGGCAAGGAGGGCAGTCGATAGCATCTTGTCACCGTGGGATTTATTGTTGGAACTTGGTCCAGATCCCACTATGTTTTATCCAAGGTTTATTTGAGTAAATATTCATTGTGTATACTTTTGAGGAAGACTGAGAGGCATCTCCTCTGTGATGCCATGACAATGTGAGGGTGTGACGTGTTATGTAAACTCGTTTAACCGTGTAGTTTCAGAATGTCCTAAACAGATGGAACAAAGTAAATCGACCAGACTGCCTAAATGGTGTTTTCTGTGATTTATTGCTCTGTAGGACCGTAACTGGTTAGTCTCAGGTCACCTAAGGACGTGCGTAGGCGTTGTTTGATTAGAATCGAAAACGACAAAGTGGTGTTACCCAACCTTCCTTCGGATGCGTATAGCTCCCACTCAGTCGCATTTGAACACCCAGCTAAACTCTACCGTCCTGTTTAGACTGCCACCCAACGTATTCTTCTGTCAAAACCCCCACTCTAAGAAACAGAGACGCCCCATATGAACCACCGCATTGAATAATCGATCATTTGTAGATCTGTCGCACGGTCATCCTAAGACAGTGTCAGTTGCTCATAGCTATGTATGTTTTCTGAGTAGGGCTGCTAAACCAAGAATGCTACTCCAATATGGTCGCCACTTATTTGTCAACAAGGTAACTTTTTGAAGTAACGCACCACAGAGATCACATGGTAGGTACACGTATGTTCTATCCCCACATTTTCTTCGGAACCTGAGTCTGAGGTGCGTCATTCAGCTATTATCTCACGGGCCTTGACGAGCATGTGATTTGTGGAAGTTTTCTGCCAGAATGGCTCCTGAAAATTGTGGCGAACAGACTTATTGATTATTGACTTCACGCTTCCCCAATCTAACGAGTCGTTTTCTGTCTAGCACACTCATTGTTTTATAGCAGCCAATTTTCAACGGAACCCATCTTTTTGTCACTGTTACTGGTAATGAATCCGACCCACACACTAGATTGTTTTCCGATTGAATTTCTTGTCCTATCGGATTTGGTACCTGCTCATTTTATTGTAGTTGCATTGCATGAGCGCCGAAGCGTCCGCTTATCTGTACATGCATTGGTGAAATTTACCATCTTGTCGAACGACCGAACTTGTCAAACTCAGGTACCTTCATACTCGGAGTTTTATTTCAACTGGACGATTGATCCAGCAAGATGATAATCAGGAATGGGAATACACTCTGGATACTCATTGTCCAATTCATACACCACTGCTATTAACTCTATGTATATCAGCTACTCTAGTATCCATCTCAGAGGAGTAGATCTTGATCTGCGGGCCTTGATCTATCTATTTCTCATTGAATATCTGCCCGGTGATTACTCATATTCTTCAATTTGACTGTAACCGCAATCCATGGAAGATGCTGTAACAAAATCTCTCATGGAGGCGACTTTATGAGCTGTCATAGCGTATTAGACGCACTAGACAACAATCTAACGTATGCTTTTTGTTACGCGTCCTTTGAATTCGAGGAGACCATTTATGTACTGCTCGTTGTGTTGGTTAGTTTTGGTAACCGCGCAAGCTTTTCGTTTCAGAGGTGAATGAACACAATGTTTGTTTTGTTCCGAAAGTGTTTGAGTGAAGCAAGCATATCCTCCCGCAACTATCCGGAGAGACCGCGCCTCAGAAAGGACTACCTTTAGTTTGCTGATTTCAGTAGTTAAATCCCTAACAGAATACACTAATTTTACTCAGTCCGCAGAGTTGTGCATTTGGTCTCGCCATGAGGTTTTCGGTACCTCCATTAGATAACGCTCCAAACGCTCCAAGGTTCGTTGTTTTGGACACGCTAATCATAGCAAGTTAGCAAAAGTAATTATTTTGGTCAAGTATTTATTCCTTATGTCTTCTTTTAGATCCGTTGTTTAGCGCCAAGAGTGATCGGACTGGCCCGTGAGGCCTACTTCCATCAATCAGAGTCTGTCAAATCACGGGAATTGATTCAGAAGATACGCAATGAATTGGATCAGGCCAACTCCGCCACTCTAAGACAAAGCAACGAGATGGCTCAACATATTGCTAACTTGACGGATGAGCTACAAGAGCTGCGCGTGGGGCTTGGCCGCAACAACTCGTTCGACACAACGTCCAACTCATCCAAGAAGGTATTCTGAATTTTTTGTTGATCTCTGATTTGTTTTCTACATACTTATTCGTTTGGATTCACCTTGGAATACATCCTTCCGGGCATCCCACTGTTGCACTTTCAGTTATTAACTTCACATCAAATATTGCCAGACCATGGGTAGCTGCGCAAGACTCTGGATGATGTTACACTAGTTGAGTCATCGGCATCGTGCTTTATAGCATGAACAACCGTCTTACCTGATAAATCTTAGTAGCACTGAACGAAACATTGCGCAATGAAAACTGTTACCAGTTACATACCGCCCTTTCTGTGATCATGAATACATAGTTCTCTCGATAATCGAATCTGGATAATGCCAATGTTCCCCTAAAAAGCGGAGCGTTATCTCTACTGTTGAGTTTGTAAAATAAAAATCAAACATACAAGCCTCTTGCATAGAGGAAACTTTGAGCTAGTAATCCGGTGTTTCTTCCAGTGATGCTCTGTTTCGGTCCACGTACGAGGCACGTCCGTGAACGCGTTTTTCCTGGTTCTCATAGCAACTTACAGTACTAGGAATCTCATGCATGAGTTGTGGTGTCACCCCAGTAGACTGGTTGACAGGGTTACATGTGAACTGATCACACAAGCTTGCGAATTGACTAAACGAACCACTATTGCGTCGCACTGACACGAACTAAAGACGAAGCGTGCTCTTTTTGGGTCATCAAGTTTTTGGCACAAGATTCTCTTAGCTTAGACGTAATACACTACTCCTAAGGTTGCTGATAACTCTTCGACAGCCCACGACCGGTTTCACCCATATTGGGGCTCCTCAGGTAGGCGCACTCCCCAAGTCACGCGTCCAAACCAAACTGAGATGCATATGAGTGTATTCGCTGAAACGGAAACCCGGGGGGCTGCGCCTACCTGATGAGCCCCAAGAAGGGCGAAACCGGTTGCGGGCTGTCGAAGAGTTTTCAGCAACCTTCTGAGTGGTACTTGACTCTATACAATGTATCGCTATATCTCGAATATCATACCAACTGAAACATGAGACGGCGTGGTGCAGCACATTCGGTTAAGGGGGCCATCATAAACTAGAAATTCAGCTGAGTTCCAGGTGAGTCTCCCGTCAGAACTGAAGTGATGTGCAAATGAGTGTATCTGTAGAAACTCCTTCCACTCATTAGAGTGCGTTGTGTTAGAAGCTGTATGAATGATTTACAACCAGGACGGTGTAGCAATCGGGATTTAGGATTAAGCTTTTGCCGTTAAGAATGTTGTGACCTAACTGTCCAGCTCAGGCAACAAACTAAAGTTTATAGTTAGATATTCCGTGGATACCGGGCATGTGCCCTTGCGAGTTTTATTTGGAATTGCCTGAGGCGAATAGTGTGCATTAAAACGCGATGATGGGAATTCATTCCCCATCGACTTAACTGCTGAAATTCTCACAATTAATAGCCAGGGTGGGCTAGCCTATGTCGGAAGTTTGACAGTTCTGAGATCATTTTTATGGGTTCCTACTAAGCGCCTCTAGAGAGTAATATGAAAGCCGTCTCACTTCTGTTCCTCTGAGTCTCCATTTTTTTCATTCCTCAGGTTTCGATATTCAATGTGTTGAAACGCTAACGGTACCTGGATTGCTTCACAATTTGTCCAGCTCGGTCTAACTTCGATTTACGGATGCTGGCAGCGGATCAAGATCCTATCGGAATTGCCCTTGATCTTACCAGAATTTCACTGTGCTCACTTCAGTCCTTTCTTTCTTGTCCTCATTATTTTTGTAAATAGACCTCTTCCGACCTCCGTTGCCAATGGGATACTGCTATTCATACACTTTCACGTAACACGTCTTCAATTCTCACTTAGCCGTCTCAATTTTGTCTACACATGCCAGTGAAGAATCTCCAACATTGACACAACGCAATTCTAAGCTCTCTGAATGTTTATACGTGAGTGTTTTTATTACTTTGTTTACAACACGATGATGGACACACCGGAGGACTTAACGGCCAAGTTCTACGACAAATGAGGAACCGTGACTTGTTCGGTAAGAACAGTGGGATAATTAAAAGAAGTTACATTAAGTGTGACAATTCTACTAGTCGGTCGATGTGCATACGAATGTGTATAAACACTGGGCGAGTGCAGTAGTGTTACCCAGATCAAACACCGTTTGGTCAGTCGTTCTCTCAGAAAAAACGCAACAGCTGGTTGTCCCAAGGCGCAGCTACCTCCCCTAGCTTCCCAGAAGATCGATGGACGAAATGATGGCGGCTACAACCACTACGACAAGTACTCGGTCCTTACAGCTGACAACAATAGTAATAATGATGATGATGTATCATTTTCATTTGGAAATTTCAGTCTAGATTGCACGTCGCGCCAGCCGTCTGCTAGGTTGAACGCTATATTATTTCTCCAATAATCCAGTATCCATTCAAACTGTCTTACCCTAATGTTGCTTGCTGATAATCGGCAGATCAATAGATGGAGGATGTCCTTAAATGGCGGGAAGTGACTTTAGGCCAGATGATTGTTTTCGGCTTCACTGTCGTACAACTGTATTTTTCGGCAGGATATGACCCCCTAACGAATATGGGTATCCGAAGTTCCCCACACTTCCAAAAACACTCAAATGACGTGAACAGAAACCGATGACGAGAACGTCATTGACACAGATAACCGGACATATATCACAGTCAAGCTGGCTGAAGAGTGTTCGAGGTACATGAAAAATCAGTCATGTAGCTTCTGTGTTATCGACAATAGATATAACTCGTACTCCACGCTGATTCCTTGCCCCTAACCCATAAAAAATCAAGAAAATGCTGGTTTAAAATGTTGGCTTTATTCGTGTGATATTTGGAAACGAAACTACGTGAGTGGTGCTCATTCCATTGCTTTCACATTTCTTGAGTGGTGCGTTCTGGAAGGCAAATTTTGAGACATTGTTGAAATGCTATGCAGGCCAGCGTTCGAAACTAAGCATAACACCATGCACAAAATCTTTCTATTGCAAGTCCTACATCGCACTACATTTGGACCTTCAAGGTCGGTGGGATTGTAGTTTTTATTGGGAGGAAAATCGAAAAATAATGCATAATATGTCTGGAGTGCAAATCCCTATAGAGCCACTCCGTGTAAGCGTCCTAGAAATACGCTAACAACGGTTTATTACATAGATGCAATTTTCGACGGACTACCAGTGATACGAACATCAATTTTTTTCCTTGCCGTATGGTTATATTGGGCTCTTCAGCAGTCTAGCACACATATGGTACAGTAAATCCAATTTGTAACAATACTCCAGGTGTTTTCAACAGCGACATACCGGTGGTTTCTCCAGTGGACTATGCTGAAACAGTCATCGTTGCATGACGCGCGCAGTTTATGGATGCATTATGCTAGGATGAAGTGTATGGTGTGAACTGTCGGTCATATGTTAATCGCATTGACTTCATCATATTGTTCCCCAAAGTGCTAAACCTCATTGACCTTTCCTTGCAACACGTATTTCACCGCAGAAGATGTAACTCCATCCTTAGAAAACGTGATACCTCATCTGAGTGGCCCGGATGTTCTCTGTCTCAGAGTATTTGTTGCCCTAGTTGTTTCATATATGTGGTTTTCTTTTTTCACAATGTCCCCAAACGACCGCTTGAAACGGTAGGCGTACCACCTATTTAGGAATTGAAAGTTAGGTCTGTGCACATCGTATGTACTCTGCCGGCGCAAATATGCCAGTTCAGGAAACTTTCAGTTCAGGACAGCAGTTAGAATAGATTTCAGTGGATTCAATTTATTCCCTGTTCCCGTTCAGTCATTCCTATATCTAATTGGCCTTGTCATGTTATCTTTCAAGTGCTGACAACGATTAGCTACACGGCGTTCCACTGAGAGGTATGATAATTCAGTACGTTATCCAAGCTATAACTGCGTCAGTACTTATCACAGCTTCCATTCGAGAGCCCAGCAAGTTCTGTAGGGTCTAAGAAGTGGTCGCTTCTCGGACAGGTAGCATGACCCTATCATTTAGCATGGTCGTGTTCGATATAGTTTTGTTTCCGGGTAAAACAGAATCGGAGCTGTTTGTGGGTATACAGCTTCGCAGCTTTGCATTTTTAACTGCTACCATTAGTTGACGTAACGACAAGGGTAACTATTAGAGTCCAAGTAAAACCCTTCGAATGATCTCAAATATTAAAGAAAGGCCACTCACCTGTACTGGAGCCACTTTTCCCGCTGGTTGCACTCCTGCTAGACTGACTTCCGGACTTCGAGCGGGCCTCACCGGGGAATACCGCTTGCTGACCAAGATTCACCGACCGAACAGTTTTCGGCCTTCAAAGAAAGTAGGATATGGTATGTCAGTATGTTGCATCAGAGCCTTCGTGCTCCACTATCATAAAGTCGAGATAACACATTTGACGAAAACTATTTGGAAAAGGGAAGCACCGGATGAATTGATCCCCTTTGAAGTCATTTTGTGGGTAATACCTTTGTAATGGGAGAGCAAGTCAGGAACCATTGTTGACTACTATTGCAAACAGAGAGGTGGTCAATATTCGACTTATGTAGGGGATGGGAAAACGATTACCAAGAAGCCTGGTTATTGTCCGTTCTGTCTGGTCGAGTGTTTGGAGATGTATACACTTCGGTGAAATCGCACTGTATAACCGTTTAGCGGCCGCTGAGAAAATTACAGTTAAAAGAATTCCGAAAAAACTGGTATCCTCAGAGTGAGTGAGCAGTGGCTGTCGGTGTTAAGCGTGTCGGTAATCAGACCCCCCCAGTCCGGCTATTTTCCGTTGCCGTTGCTTTTTAGTCGCTTTCCTATGCAGGGTGCACTCTGTCAATGTTGCAAATCTTGCATGTTGGAAAGACCGCTCTGGATCCAAATTTGGATCGTTTGCGATTTTGAAAGCGAGACCTTAGACGAAAGGTTACACATTGTATGACAGTGTCAGAAACTGAACCGAGAAATATCCCCCCTTGATTTGGAGACTGAGGCGGACCACAAAATTCAACCTGCAAGTTTCATCAAAGGAAATGACTATAAAAAATGTCTTTTATTACAGAGATCTCGAGTAAGGCTGATACTATGACTTAAAGCTGTGTTTTACTGACAAGAAATTTCATTTTAAACTTTCTCCATTTTGCTTAGGATTATAAGAAGCGTGGGAATTATTAGGTTATAATGGCACGAAACATGTCGTTCATCCGAGAAAGTGGAAACTTTTCACGCTGTTCAGCATATAATAACTGACGTTACTAATATCAGTGACTGAAACGTTCATCGAGTTTGGTTGCCTCTGGATTTACGGTTGACTGACTTAATCTGTGACCAGCTGGAAACTCTGAGCAGGAACCTTTGGTCTCAAGTACGGTCCTACTTTATCTCGCTTTGACAAAACATTTCAAAGCACTTTTGCCATAATGAAGCTTTTGCAACATACCGACCAAATGGCTTTTTGAGACGTCGTATACACATAGAGCTATGCTATGCCAGTGTGATTTATTTCAAATGATAGAAGATTCGCCAATCCATCGGCTGCTTAAATCCTCATTGAAAGACGTAATATACATCGCACTGATTAATATTCTCGCAAGCTGTCTTTGTTTTTGCAATACTTGTTTTCAGTGAAAGTAGGGGAAAACTTAGTTGTGCTTTGCAGTTTCTGACTGAAGAGAAGCGTTGATCCTTGCTGAGAAGTATTCCACAGCTTTCTATCTTCACTAGAGATCATCAGGTGTGTATAGCATGGATCATCAAGCAGGTTCGAATCAGCAAACTACGGCAGGGCAGTTGAACACTACTTTTGCGTCAGGGATGACTGTTGGGAGTGCATGGCGAGGTTGAGTTCCACTCCTTGGATGCGTGCTATACTTTTTTCCGTAGGTTTTCACGGGAGATGTTTCATGGACAACATTATCTCGGGTCTGATGGCACCTCGGAGTTTAGGTGGTGTCATTCTCAACATCTTCCCAGACTTAATATTCATGAGTTACCTAAATGGGTTATGTTTACATTTTGAAGTTATTTTTGATCCGAATTAACTAGAATTCTTGGGGCTGATTGATCTCACGTTCAAGATGCATTGGAAATGATTATTACTTGTCCACTTTACCCCTGGTTACGTCTACTCTTGCCAGGAAAAAGCCTGGCAAATACAACATCGTGCCATCTTTCTCAAAACACATCTTCCGTAGAATGAATCCACACAATCTGTAGCTTTTCGTCTACATACTCAAACGTCCTACAGCTATATGTTTGATGTGTTGTCGGGTTAACATGGCAATAACAGGTGTATGTGTAAACATCGGTTACTGGTTTGTGCCGTGGGACTTTTAGTTTTGACTATTTGTAGACCACTAATCTTTATCAGTATCATCGTAATTATCGTCGCCACCAGCAACACTTGTGAACCATGTACGCGTGTTGTGGTTCTAGCTACTGCAGTCGACGCCCTTGGAAATAGAGCTGGACAGCTACGGATGACGGGGAAATCTGGAGGGAAAATTACACCATGAATGCATCTACGCCATTAAAGCGTGACCATGCTATGTCAACCAATGTGTAACAACTGATGGGTTCTGTCTCAGAGTCCTTATACCTGTAGAGGACAATGAGCAGTGCAAATGATCGATCGCAAAAGTACAGGCGAGACTAAACACAAAAAACTACACAAGGGTATGTGAGAGGTTTCAGTTATACACCCGTGCGCTCAGTTTAGACGTATTGTCTGTGCAGCTCGTGCCATTCTTACTCCTTCATGGGCTTTTGGCTGACATAAGCTTCGCTTAAATCAGAGGGTGTGGCCGCGTTCTCCACGCTCCTGGCAGAAGATGCACGACATTCCTGCTGAGAAGGGCACGGCGAAGTCGTTCCCGATCCGGCTGATGTACTGAGGCTGCTGGTTGGACTTCTTGCTGAACTGCTGTTTGAGTTCATCGATGCGCGGCTGACACGACGTTCACCGAGTGTACTGAAGCGCAATCCAGAGGCAGACAGTAAAGTTTGGGCCTGGTCATTCATTTGTGCATTCGCTCTTGTTCTTGCGAGCAACTCCTGTATCATTCTATCGGCAAGTTCCTTGAGCATTCTCACCTAACAAAAGTGATAAAAAAAATGCACACGGATTCTTAATTTCTAGTGATATTGAACAAAATGATGAAAAATCTAAGTTGAACATTGCACTGCTGGACAACCTCATGCCAACAAAGGACTGGATTCGCGCAAAGGTATCGATTTATACCAATAAACATTTCATTTTGAGACAAGTAAGACACTACTTGTTTGTTTGTTACCGAATTCAGACGGTGTGTATGGGGTTTCTTTGACTCTGGTTTTTTTTGTTGACGGGTCTCCTTATTGCACTTAATTGGGCGCAGTTGTAAGAGCCAAATTTTTTGTGTTAGACATAAAGCAACAATCGTTGCCGTAGGCACTTGGTCCTTAATGTGACACTCCCAATACCTCCTTTGTTGTGTAAGAAATGCTTTACAGATCTGCTTTGTGGCTTGGCAAATGATTGATTGATGTTGCTCATTCTGTCAATTTTAATGTATTTTAATTCTGTATCACTTCTTTTTCAGTATTAGATCATCTGGATCATTAGGCCAAGCGTTAATACACATTAAAGGTTGATGGCTTCGAACAGTTTGCTGACACTATTCAGGAAATATATTACTTAGCACATTAACTTAAGCTCAATTAGTTACGTACTGTGCATCGTTTTCAGTACACAGCAACTGAAATAAAATATTCTGGAGAACTCGAAGGGTACTTTTGATCCATGAATAGAATGTGTCCCTTGTTATCTTATTGGAGCTTTGCTGCTCTAACGGGAGAATTATAAGAAACATCGGATGAGTGGGTAGTTCAAAGTCATGAAGGAATACATGAGATAACCTGAAGCGTGTCATTTGTAGCCTCAGAACGACTTCGTTTCCTCTCTTGAGTTTATACGTTAATGCAAAAATGTGAGGTTTGCAAGTACAAATATGACTGCCTTCAGTAGACGGAATGCATGCCAAAGGCCGAACTGATCGACTTTGTTGTTCAAAGCTCAAGTTGTCGAATCAGTTAGACGACCACTGGTAAAATTATCGAAATGCAACAGAAATTAAAACTACTGTATCACCCCTAATATGGCATGGAGCCGGCGATGAATATAGTGATTCCCAAATGCTCCACAGCTCCATAAACTGCCTGTGAAGGTATCATGTTTTTGCTGAGTAAAACCTTATTGAAGAATTATCTCCAGGATAATCGCTGTCGAAGAACCAATGCTTCGAGGCAAGAGTTGGACGATGGTTAATTTCTCGTGTGGCGAAATGAGAGATTACAGAGCTTCACGTAGAGGCTTGAACCAAATTGGTGCATATTCACAAGATGAGTGTCAGCTGCAGGGCAAGCTGAGTAAGCAGTTGTGTCATATACCATCACAGGTATGGATATTTTGTGGACCCTGCCGGTTATCCATCCATTAGACCTCTCAGTTATCAATTAGCTGTTGGTCATGGTGTCTCGTATCCCATGTTACCTAAACTGGGGACGTGGCAACAAGCAGGACACTGTTGTCACATTTCTGGGCCCTTCAGTTGGTATACTTTGCCTCAGAGACACTTTTTTCTATGAGGGTACTGGTTTTACTCGTCTATTCCAACTTGAAAAGGAAGCAGTTCAGAAATTCCCTTCAGAGCACTGATAATGGCTTTGAGCATTCTCCAGGTCAGCAGTTAATGAATTTGGAGTAGTCCAGTTTGACGGTACGATGTTCTGTTTTGTGCTGCCACGCAGTTACCGTAGTATCTTAAATGCGATGATGTTTTGACAGGCGTGTGCATTATTTGAAGGGGGAGGTGTTAATTCAGAAGATGGATTTTTAATTTGTAGATCAGCAGTAACAAACTATCAACAGAAATACCTTGATATCCCTCAGGAGAGCTTCGTGTTGCTCCGCATCGAGAATCTGCTTCTTTGTAATGCTACTTTGCAGCTTTTGCATTTTTTTAAGTGAACGGTTGTATCGAGTGTTTTGATTGTCAATGTCGCGCGACTTCCCATCCAATTCTGCAGTGAGTTGTTGGTTTTGTTTTTTGTAAAGCTCCAATTCGGCTTCCAGATTCGATTTGCATTCAAGTTTTGCCTGAAACGGGAGGAATTTCAAATAAACAGGACTGTACGTTTTCGCGAAGTATGTTAAAAATGAACCAAGAAGGTGTTTTAAACAATACGACTTTGAAGTCAAAAGAAAACACATCCCGAATAACTTGAACGAAGATTCCGGTTGTCTCGTGTTAACAACAATGTAGGGTAGGGGTTATGTCAACCGGGCCACTAAAATCAGACCTGTGTTCAGATGGTTTTGGCAGCCCTAACCTTGTAGCGGTCACTCACTAGATCACGCGTCACAAACACTCAGACCACGTGACAATTTCTGTCCACTTGCAACCTTAGCCGACAACAACAGCTTCCCATCCATTTTTGTTTACGGGGCTACCACTTGCGTCAGCGCCAGGCTTACGAACCTTTCGCATTGTATCCATTTTTATCAAGTCCACATAACTATTGTAATCATCAGCATCCTGATAAAACAGACATCTGTTAGCGCTTGTCACCTTCTGATAATTAACCTAATTACGTTACAACCAGAGCACTGACAATTGGTGAGCCCGATGTGACGCGGGTGGTAGCCGCGTAAACAAAAAATGGGTGGGAAGATGTAGTGTACATGTTGTCGTCTAGGGTTGTAAGTGTGATAGGTATTGTCACACTTGGTCTAATGGGTGACTGCTACACCCACATGAAGCTAGTGTTCAGAACCCGGGCGTTTTTCCCGTTCCTATTACCAGTTGTGTCTCATCGTCCGGTATTGCGCCCCTCATTTTTACCTGCGGAACATTAAACATAAACCCATGTAGCATAATCTTAACCGTCGTGGGATTTAAAATTCGGACTTCTGACATGAGGGATAACTACCTCATCGGAACACACCTGAATGATCACTTCGGAACAGGTGAGGTGGAGCTCGCGTCTGATCGATGTAATTGGTTTTAGAGCGGTGGCTCGAACGACTGTTCTGGTTGTAGCGACCGACTGGCCCGCCTATCAAGACTCCCCAGTCAGGTAGCTCGAAAACTGCCGGACAATCTTTGATTAGTTGTACTGGAATGTGAGACCCGTAGAATTCACACTCGCGTCAGTCTACCAAAAATATATGGCAAAGACAGATCTCTTTCACACATCTTGATGACGAATCGACCAAGCTTGGAAACCATACGGATTTGGTCCCACACATTTTATGACCATCAGATTCCCACTAGATACTTTAGCCTGTTCCTTAATACAGTACAGTGACCGCCCGTGAGCACGAAATGATCCATCCTCTATCAACCACTCCTGGCCAATTCAACCTTCAGTTCTATCGTCACTGGTCCGGTCGATGGTGATTATTCCTGCTTAAATGAAAACGGCGACATTTAAATATCACTTGCGAGCTGATGGGCAGAATCTTGACTGACTTGATTATCTTTTGGAATGGCTGCTGGATGGAAACGATCGTGGACTTTGCACGAGCACTCGATAATAACAACAATAGCAATTAGCTGATCTTTAGACCGTGGAAATCTATCTAATGTGTTGACATCCTCCTTCCATTGGATGAAGGTAAGCAGTTTATGCGCTCGTCAGTCTACTCACTCTCAGCACTCGATCTCTTTTTACACCGGAAATCAAATGGCTGGCAACAATAAAACATTGTTTGATTTACAGAGATCAACGGTTTTGTGGTAACATTTAGGAAGTAATAAGACGTTTCATAGGAAGATCCAAAAAACTTAATGCAGGACTTACTTTCTCTGTCTCCTGTAGTTCGTCCAAACGGACTTGGTCGTATCGCTGCTTGATGGAAAGAATTCGTAGCTCTTCTTTGAGCTCCTTCATCTGTGTCAGTTCCTCCGCATCGTCTGGCAACTTTGCATAACTGTGACGCAACAGCGTGTTACATCCATTCATTAGTGCCAGTGTGTTTTCTAGTGCAATCAGTTCTTGCTCAGCTTGCCTCGTTTCCGCGTCGAGTTGATCGCCCTTGCGCTGCAACGCTTCCTTATCTTGTGCTGCCTAAGTAAAATGAACGACAGAATCAGGCTTATCGGATTAAGTTAGTTTCCGAATTTCTGAATTCGAATTTGAACTAGCCTTATAAACTCAAATGTGACTGAAGTGAATGAGAAAACGAAGTATATAGGATCGGTAAAATACACAACAGAACGGTGAGGAACTCACTGTGGTATGAAGTAGTTCACTCGTACACATGGTTGTCTTTCCTATATGAGACTTTTTTCATGAAGGATACTACTCACAAGGTTGCTGAAAACTCTTCGACAGTCCACGACTTGTTTACAAGATCGCATGGGTAGGACATTTATGCGACCATTCCTAATTATCCTAAATCACAAGCGTCACTGATAAACTGATATACCAGTGGGCAGAAACAATTAATCTTGCGTCTGCAACGAACCCTTGGATTCCAGAAAAAGCCATGAGGTTGGTGATCAAGAATTAGAGCGCCAGATGTAAGAGTTTAGGGTAAATTCGCATAAAGAACTCTACTGCTAATCGTGTCCATAATTCTACAAGCACATAGATTGAGCCAAAGACGTCTGCTAAGGCGAAGCCTTAATGCTAATAAAAAATTTCTCATCATCATTGTGGGCAGCAGCCACAGTATTACAACACCGCTGCTTCAGAAACACTGAAAGATTTTGACTGCTATCGACTTATTTCTATAAAAATATCTGGTTTCCACTGATAGTTAAAAGACCAAATGGTAGCGTAGGAAGTGGTGGTATCATTTCCCTATGATCCCTTCACCACTCCACCTTCATTTTTCAAGACGGACAGGGTGCCGTTTGACGCATTTTATCATCGATGAGGGTTATGCTACGGTCAGATTATGGACCAGGTTAGATCTGACCTTGTTTCATCGAATGATCTAACCTTGTGACTAGGCAGTTATGTTCCAGATTGAACAACATTGTATATCGCAGTGCACAGTCAAGTCAGTCTGCTTCTTGTGTTTGGTATCATCAGCTTTGCTCATCCCATGGGTCCTGATCGGGCACAGTAACGCTTGAGCTTTGAAGTTCGAACGGCCTGCACCTACGTTGGATAAAGTGCTATTTGTTCTTAAGGTTTCAAATAAGTATCATTTGATCCAACTTCAACTGACACATGGAGTTTTAAATTTCCAGAGAAGAGCCAACTACACTTCGAGAGGTGAGTGTTTAATAACCATCTGTCAGTATAAACTGTGTCAACAATTCGAACTACACAGATCTCTTGTCACAATACTTAAGTGCTATCGGAAACTGGAGGGTCTTTAGAAATTTCTGTTGAAATGCAGTGTGCATCAGTGCATGGGAAAACATCCGAAATACATGTAGGGCGAAACGGTGTGATGGTCAGTCATCTATGTTGATTTTTCTCTGCTCTTTTTCGACGTAGAAATTTCGGTATGTATCACGCAGTACACTTGCTTCCTGATACTACCTTCACCTTCTTTCTCTCGACCCCCTTGCTAGAATCAACTGTTTTCTGCGTCTACCTTGTGTATTCGACATGCACCCACAATCTCATGAAATCTTGCCCCTAATATGTCGAACCAATTTTGACAAAGTTTAACGCGCGCTTTTGACCACTTGCGTTACCACGTACTGTGCGAGCACCTTGTAGCTAGTTGAAATCGGTTTGCCACTCTCTCCGGGCATTCTTTGGTTCCCTTTTCCTTACCTTCAATAATTTTCATCTGACGTTTTCTGATCAGAGTAGCCCTAATCGGTTCCTCTTTTCTGTGTTCTGTTTCCTCACCAAAGGAAAGCTTGGATTTATTAAAGGTTGTCGAATAACTGCTTCATTGGTTGTGCGTATCGTGGCAACTCTATCGCGAATTAATGAACCGAGTAATCCAGAACATTTCTCTAAAGCGCGAAATCCGTTCCTCGCCCCACAAGTTTCAGTTGTGAGCAAACACCTCTACACTGTCACGCAACTCGGCTTGTACTCCGCCTCTCACTTTGAGAGGTAGGCAACATCGAAACCAATGATACCAAAAGGTAACGCAACTTGCGAATGTGTCTAAACATTTCGATGAACAACCAGAAGTGGATGTCAAGCCTCTGTATCGCAGAAGCCCCTGCTTTTTGCGGAAATCCAAAGTGTGCAAACCCAGTCCCTGACGTTACTCTGTGGTTTGCTGGTATATGGTAAACAGCTGAAGCGACTGCATTCAGACTGTTTGAAGCGTCAGCGCTTACGAAATTATTGTTGCTATCATAATATTCAAGCCAAATCCATTGCAAATACGATTGCACACAATGAGTTTTCAGTGAATTAGTTCAAAATGAATGTGCGTCAGTGGCGCTACAGATGAGTGGTTATGTGTCTACTTGCCATAAGGGCAAATGGAAGTTGTCAAATTGTCAAGACCAGTTCCAGTGGCTGAAGACGAACAAGAATGCGTTCCGAGAAGCCAACACGAGCAAACAAGGGTCACCAGCAGAAGCGAGCTCAGTGGTACTCTATCGTCACATCCAAGCACACAAATGTACAGTTGATTGTTATTTAAAACAGAGGGAAGGATAATCCTACTTTCACACTGAAGGTGCATGTAATGTAGGCTCTGGAATAATGAAAGCCAGAGAAGAACAACTGCCAAAAAGTTTTGCCGAAGGTTATGCTTCAGTAATGCTGTCTCCTTTGTTTCCATCTTACTTCGGCCCTTCGAGCAATGTTCCTATCCAGTTCGATGGGAGACAGTTTTGGGAACTGGAGTAGTTCCTTATTGGCGATAGTTTTTTTATACGAAAGGGACCGAGGTTATTACTACAAAGAACGAGAACGCCGACTGTGCGCTCACCCCCGAAAATGAACCATTTTTTAACTATCAAACTTCGTTGGACTCACTTTGATTACATAATAGGTCTGACTTCGTTCCTCCTCTCCCTCTGGTGGTGCCATCAGCGCGGTTAGTATTTCATACCTAAAAAGAACGACAGCAAAGAGAAGCGAATGAAAGAACATTTACTGAAGAATCGCTTGAATGGAACTGTGTCGCTGAGACTGCTCATATATGAAGGATTACAGAATTAGAAAAATGCATGAAAAGAGTTACAAGAGGAAATATTCCGCCCGGCATCTGAATGAGTTTATTCAAACTACCAGTTTTACGTTCAAAACTACCTACCAGGCTTTACCGAATGAGATAAATCTAGAGTGCCTTTAGCCAGCGAACCTGTCCCAATTAAATCAATGGGCTTTGACCACATTCAGACGTCCTAGCGTAGTTCTAACTTAGTGAACGTCCTGTAACATCCAAGTATCAAGGAAACTTATGTTGGGAACACTACAAAAAATGTGCAAATGCAGCGCTTTACACAATGCATGAGGTTTTTCTCCGCCTGCTAGGCTATTTGAACTTTATTGTTAGAATTCGAATGAATTGGTGCTTCTGTCGGTACTTTAACAGCCGAATGATGGCTCTTACAAACGATTTCACTGACACTAAATGATTGTTTGCAATTCACTCCAAATGGATCATTTGGAGAGGTGAGGTTTACAACTCCGTGTCTGCGTACAGATGGTACGGTCGCTTTTTGCCTTCCACTCCGTGGTCAAAAGCACCCCATATTTCATTCTTGTTAAGGGCTGAGGCTTGTGAGGAATACACTGTTCATTCGTTTTGAAAATAAATCGAATCTATAGCCTTCGGTTATTAGAAGCCAGCACCCTTCAGTGCTCAATCATTCTCATGAAGGGTGATGCAGTTTTACGGTTCCCGGCGACTGTTCAGCCTCATGCTTTGTTACACCTCACTTTCAGATATAGCTACTATAACCTCCAATGCAGACCACAGCGTCTTTTACGTATCAGTCACATCCGTCATTTCCTTTTTAAAGTGGCTCACCGTCCATACTTAAGGGACCATAGTAACGACGGATGCTCATGTATCATCAAGCGAAAGCTGATTTTGACAGCATACGAAATGCTATTTGACTGCCAGAACCTGCTGGAGGAAGGAAAGCGATACGAAAATGACGAAGTTTTCTGCATGCATAGTGGCACCCATGTATTCCAGTCTTTATTTTGCTTCACCACGTCGCGGAAACAAAAATGTGTTTAATAGCAAACTTTCTCTTTCCATGAGAATATCAAACTGGTAGGTTGATAAGTCAAGAAACGTCACTATAGAGGCTCACGAAGCCCAACATTTGTCAAATTACCTAAACTACATATGAACCAAATGACAAGTCGAGACACCGTGAATGGAGTTTAACGAAAAAAAAACATGGTTATTCATCTCTCAGCGAGGAGAAGCATTTTTTAGTTGTGATACAGATTCCCGGGTAAATATCACAGTCGACTGGGTTGGTTTTAAAATTGTGAACCATCATGCAGCTTTGGTTGGCTTCAGGCAGCAGATTGATCCACTCAACATTAATCGGTAAAATTCAAGGGTGCATCCAAAGCTATTCACATGTTTCAAAGAGATGCACTGTCCTCTTGTCATGACTACATTCAGCGAAGAGGAGCTAGTGTTGGTTCGATTTACCTAGACAGCACAGTTAACTACCTTAAAAAAGTGCCTGAAATGACCTTTTATCGTGGGGCAGAAGATTATTGTGATCATTCCAAGTTATTCATTCCGGTAGTTGTTATGTTCCGAGGAGAATACACTGTGATTTTGTCGAACTTGATGTATGATATAAATTGCTTTTGCGTGCCCGCAATTGGAGACAGGAAGCAGGTGAATTCTGAATTATGATTTTTTAGCTTTGACGGATTTGCTTGAGTTGAATAATCTCCTAACTGATCTGAACTTCATATATCCTAACTGTAGGTTGCATGTACATGCTACTCCACAAGACTTGATTATCAAGGGTTCCCAGGCTACCACTGCTGACAAGACAACTAAATCACCAAACTGTTACAGAGCTATTCAGTCCATCCACAGCAGTCAACTGATATGCCAAACAGGGCCTGTATTTTATGATTTGAAAATCGTCACAAAGAGACTAAGCCACGGTATGACGATTTGTGTGCCTCCGTCACGTGTTGAGCTATAATGGTGGCATCATTGCGGCACTCACACAGCCACTCATACCAGGTTGGTTAAGGGTTAGATGGTTGAACAGCACAATCTCCTGGTACTCCAGGTTGGAGTCGAAGCACGTGTGTCGGACTGTTCCACAAAACTACAGTGAGCTGGCATTTCCTGCCAAACGGCACTGCTTCTGAGCCAGAGGCTCTTACTGAAGGTCCCACCCGTCCTTCATTAAGTTTGGGTGGTCTGGCAGTATCCCGGTCTACGTAAAAGCAAGATTCCCACCACTAAAACTTGTGTTTTAAAAGTTCTTTCGGCATACAGCAAGGTGGGTAGACCAAAAGAAGCTACTGCTGTTACCTTCCCCCCTTCGTCCTTCTCTTTAGACTTTTCTTTCCCCTTCCCTGACACCAATATTAACTTCTTCCTTATGGGTACATCAGTTAAGACTGATGACCCAATTCGTCCTGTGTCCTTCTTGACCGCAAAATCTGCTCGTTAGCCGGTGCCGACAGCCTCAGGTATTTCGAAATCAATCTTCAATCCTTGAAGCCCGGTATACATCAATGCGCACATTCAGAAGCAAGCGAAAAAACGAGCTGCTCTTGTTTTGACACTAAACTTGCTTCACATTGATGCATGCTGTGTATGGGAAGAACGAATTTAAGATACAAGCCTAAGTTACTGCACAGAATGCCGTCCAAGTTACTGTATCTGCAAGACCACTGTCCATTCGAATCCGGCTGGGCACCAGGATATACGAGGTTCAGCGTTGTGCGAAGTTACCAGGTGAAGGAATCCTTGCTTGACTCGAATCCCGTCCATAGTCGTCTGTATGATTTTCATCTAGCAACTTCCGAATAGTAGTTTCACAGGCGGTCGCTGTCAGTTTAACGTGTCTGCCTCAACTGACTGTAGCTCTGACGCCATCAAAGACAAGTTTCATGACGCCCAGAATGCCAGGGCTAAAAGCTCACATTGCATTCTGGCTGCCGGAGTTTTGAATGTGCGAGTGGACAAAACTGAGAAATCTGAGACCAGATTGGGTAGTTGACAAGTCTTGGGCTCGGCACGTACCGACAGTGGTGAGCAATTGCTGACCGCAGGCTGATTTACGCAGCACTAACTTTCAAAATAACCGGAGTCATCTGGTCACACGGCGCCCTCCAGCAGCATGCCATCCACGAACCTAAATGGATAATATCGCCGACGGTTTTCTCTGACGTCGATCAATAACCGAGTGCCGCTCATTTTGGAGCATTTGTATGGAGACTAACCATTCACTCGTCCGGAGTCGATTCTTTCTTCGTTTTCCACGACCATCCAACGAATGGACAACAGGCCTGGCAACCAACAGACTGACTGACGAGATTATCAGAACCATAGTCTGGACTCTCTTCCAACTGCTCCATCGTCAGAAGTCAATTAGTACAGGAATGAGGTCATGGAAAGCCTGAAAGTTGCCAGGAGTTTCTCCTGTAGCGTGGTGCTACCATATCCGATCAAGCCCTCCATAGTAGTTAGCACAGTGGTGCTATCTGAAAATTAGAGAAATGTTCCTGCTGGTCGGGAACAATTCAGCCCGATGAAGTATGAGGGGTCACGTCAAACTTCGCTTGGCCGCTAACGATGAAGCCCAATGGACACGGACAACTTAGGAGATGAAAGAGGACTGAGATGCCAAAGACCGTCGAAGATAACTCCAGTGGATCCGCTTGATTGATCCAGGGAAGCTGCCTTTAAGGAGCAAAGTGGCGCGATGACTCATCTGTTGGACTCAGCAAATGGCCTGCCATTGACATTCATCATCCAGATAACGGTTCTGCGCCATGGATGACGATGCTGATGAACACCAGGGCAGAAACGGCATATTTACCCAATGTTAAAGTTTACAAACCGGGGTTTAAGTGTTTTTTTTGGATAGATGGTGATTCTTCGGGAAGAAAGGGTACTAGGATTCACTCAGCGTCCTTCGATGGAATATTGTTGAAAATCTCTGTAGGGAGTTCATTAAGATTCACTATCTTCGGTTTAATCGAAGTTTCTGATACACTACCCTCCTTGTAAAAAAATCCCCTAATGGAAGTGTTTTGAATTGAAAGAATTCTTATCCAGTGTAACATCTTCTCTAAGATACCCACTTTCCAGAAGGGAATGAAGAAAAGTTCCTGACATTCAAAATGGTTGAATCACTCCTCACAATGAAAGTGCTCCAAGCTATTGCTTCAATTGACCGCCGTCCCAAACGGCTTCCTACTATTTCAGCCGACACATTGATTAGACTCACATGCTGATCCATTCTTACAACAATTGACCTCACACCATGAAATAGGGTCTTGGATGCTCACGTAACACTATCCATTGAGACTCTTTGCAGTTTAAATACCGATCACAGCTTTGGGATGGGATGAACAACGTATAGGAGATGAACATTCCTGCAGTTTTTGATAATCAGCATTATTTTTCTTGTTATGCAACAATGCATCTTTGTGACAGCTTATCCAATAGAATGGTTCTCACAGGTTTTCAGGACCTAGATGTCGAAGGCTGGTTAATGTTGAACGGGCACTAGTATGTATGAATGAAAGGTATGCAAGGACAGTTTGGATTTCGACCAAATTAAGTTAGCATAAACCGGGTATTTACACACCATTCTCAAGGAAGCTGTTGGGAAAGGTTAAAATCTAAATTTTCTTAACAGACTGTGGAAAGAAGGCGATAGTATAATTACGGACGACCTCTCCAAAAGAAAATAGCCCCGTTGGGGAGACACTTTGAAATCTTTAAAAGATACTTCTCAAAAATAGAAAGTATTTTATTAACCCATTCAACAGACCTCTTTATCAGTATTTCCACGTGAGATTTTCGGGATTGGATTTCCATTTTCAGTTTACTGTTGTCTTCAGAAGCCATTCTTGTTTCATTGGTGAGCATCTTGTTGCGTAGCGATAACTGTTCCAGATGTTGCTTGATGGCACAATCTAATTCTTCTCGAGCTGCTTCCAGGCAGAAAACCTTTTCAGAAAATAACGGCCCAGATTAAGAAAAAAAACGCCACAGATTAAGCGTTTGACGATGCGTACATTAATATCGGATAAGGAGAAGACTTCTGGTTTGATTGCGCCTTGGACCGAGTTGTTTCTGCGTTGTTTGAAGGTGCTAAGAGCGCATGGTAAATACTGTCTAATCGTAGGGGAATTAATTGGGACAAATTGTTTCAAGATTATCGTACAGGTATACGGCAAACGAAGTATATAACCAAACGAAGTGAGCGTGGCTGTTATCCGTTATCTTACACGTGCGAATAGCAGAACAACCATCAGGATACCGAACTTTCCCTCTGCAGTCAAAAATAAATCAAATATCTTCATCCTAGGGTTGGCCTTAGATGATGACCACTCTAAAGTACTGCGCTTCCAAGTTATTCTAGAAATTAGTGAGATCAATTTCCAAATGGCACACTAAAATAAAAGCTCACGCTGAATTTCGGAATATGTGCTACCAGATACACGTAGAGGGATTAGCCGTCGGGTAATATCAATTACAGGGATTAGTCCTAAAATACATCAAATAGTTTGTTACAATGATGGATGGATTATCAACCGGTGCATACCTTACCAGAGCTTTTCTCGTAGTTTTTCAACAAGCGTCTCACTTCTAGTCGCGCCAAATTCAGGTCAACTGTCAGTCTCTGTATGACAGTGGTCAGCTTGTTCTTGTGTTTGATGGCAGCGGCCACTTCCAAGTCATCGTGTTGTAACTTGGTTTCATTCACAGTTCTCATCTCTGATAAATCTTGCACCTCTCGTTTTCTTCGGTGTACTTCCCGCTGCATTGAAAGGAAATGCAATGGCATGCTGTAGTCTTTTAGTTGTTACCAAAAGTGCACCAAAGGTTACGGTTGGTTCAAAATATAGTACTTGAAAGAACACATTTCCAATTGGGGAGAAACAGTCTATTTGTGCTTACAAATGCCAACCTCTGCGTGAAGTGTGTTTTATCTAATTGGCACACTCACTGTTCTCCGCTTACAAGTATTAACTCCATTGCTAGTGACAAAATGACGTGAATGAATAAAATAATACGATTCAGCGGTTCACTACCAGGTCCATCTGTAGAAACTTGAAGGTGCCTAGCCCCTACGAAATCAGTTAGAAGAATTTACATTACATTAATGAACTACGGAAGCAAGATAAAAGTAGTTGATGCATTGTCATTGAATTTCTTTGGATGTAATCAAGAGGCACCTGCTTTTCTTACTCCGTCATATTACACCAGATACTTTGAGATAAAACTTATCAGTAGCTACGTACATGTATATCACTGTCTTTTAAACGTATCCTTGTTTTAACTAGCTCAGTTTTTTTCATTTAGACAGCTGCGTTTTATTTTGAGTTATACCCGCGGTTAAGCCAGAATAGTTGCATGTAACGATCGTTTTGCTCGTAATCTCATGCGCACTTTATTTTGCTCTGCGAAATATTTTGCATTAGATTAGGCATCGCTTTCCACTTTAGGGTCAAAGACAACATCGCTCGCGTGATCCAACCTAATGGAGGTGTAAGTTTATTTCGAAAACGAGAATGAGACCTTCAAAAAGCAATCCTCGAAAAGAAGTCAATGAGAAGAAGGCGAATCTTTGTTTCCTCTAAACGACTGACCAACCTTGTACAGGTGCTTAAAATAGCGTCTACGACAAAGCTCACCCTGGCATTTCATATTTCTCATAAACTTATATGCTGTGGATTTATTCAGTAGTTAAACTGCAATTCGTATGGAAATTGACGGTCGATGTCGTTTTACGTGAACTTTGTGACCGCAGGCTGTCTTCTTGAGTGAATGCATGGGCGGAAATGATGTGAAAATATCCATGTACACTCACTAGTAAAAGTATTGTTGCCTCAGAGCTCGTTCAAGCGTGATTATAAAGGTAGGGTAAGCAGTATCTTGCTCGTTGGGGAGATTTGGAAAAATCAAGTGAAGCTTACGTGCTGTAAGTGAAGTCAGTCTAACTTAAAAGCCGACAGAAGCCGAACATTTTTTTCATTTTTATTGAGAATCGTCATTAGGGTATGTCTCACTAACAGCCAGATAGATTCGAACCCACGACCTCCCGATCAGTAGGTGAAGAATGAATCTTTCGTTACGGGAAGCTGTTCGGCAATGTGATGTACGCGTAACTCAGCGAAATGGGCTTCAGCTACAAATCCGGATGCTGGAGAATCGTGGGGTATATTCAGTGTTGATGATTTCTAATGGAACCAACAGCTGTGTTGTGCTTCTTCGTCCTTTGGCGTAGAATGGCTGTACTCGTAGGAGGAAAATCTCCTGAGGGAATAACACACTTTACAATCACCTTCCCACCTGTTACAATGACAACGAATCACTGATTGATACAGATATGATGAAAACAGTACATTTCACTCACCCGTATATTTGCCAGTTCACCGCTCAAGTAACTAACAGTATTGGTTCTCTCGTCCAGTTGCGCCTCGAGAGTGCGAACTTGGTCCTGAAGTAGCTCAGAGCTGTCCTCAATCTGTTCACCAAGCATGCGGGCTATACGCCGATCCAGTTGTTGAATTTTGAAGTCCTTTGTTCGGAAAGCGAAATTTTACAAGTTTTGTCAAATATTTTGTGTGCGAGTACTTTTGCAACATTCCAACGATAGGTGCACCAAGCGGTTAGTTATTTCTAGCTAGTGCGCTTATCTGGATCGCCCCACAGTAAAATAAACTTTATCAGCAAATAAGGTCATTAATGTAATGATAGAAACAAATAATCACGATCAGGGTTGCCGTATTTCTTGTCTGTAAGGTCAAAACTGACGAAAATTTTGATTTCTTCATAACCAGTGCAGATTGAGCTGCGTGACAAGTTTAAATTGAGGAAAATGAGAAGGGAGTTGGGAGATCAACAATTGTGAAGACATGCTATCAGAACGTAAGTCAGGAAAGTGTTTAAGTGTTCACACAATATCGGGTTTCCTATTTTCAGTCCTTGACGTAAAGCGAGTGAGTTATGAACAGTAATGAGCAGAAATAATTCTAAACGGGCATATATTTAATTTTTACAGATCACGTAATCAGTACTCTTAGGTGTAATGCATCAAAGCAGCAGGTCTAGTTTATCCGTTACTTTTAGTTTTAATTTGGTTTCAGTTTAAAGTGTGTAACGTCAACGGTGTGAAGTTCCTGAGGTAAAATGCCCAAAATGGATAAATATGACATGTAATGTCTTGGTTCTGCTACTGACGTTCAAGTTAATATCACTGTTTGCTGAGTTCATAATGGGTTTTTCTATCCGGTCTATAGACCGGTATGGATAACTTTTGACAAAATAGCTTGGCTGGAGCAATCACATGCGATTGTAGAATCATATGCCTTTCAGCTCAATGTGAAGAAAGTCAGTACATGAATGATTCTCCTACGATCTTGACGGAACTGACTGTAATAGTACAACATATATATTTTACACGTTATATAAATATCATATAGTAAATAATAATACATAATATTTCAGCAGCAGACGCTTTGCGGACGTTCATGGGGTCCAAAGCGTGATTCTTTCAAGAATGGCTGCGAAGGCAATGGTGCTGAGCGCAGTAATGCTACTAATAGGAATCGCACTTGCAAATAAAAGAACCCCTTTAGAGGTTCAACTAACCTGTTTATACATTACTTCATGCTGCGCCATCAGTTTCCTGTCCAAATCGGCCAGATTTGACTTCGCTATTCTTAGGATTGCATTCGCTCCTTGGAGTTGTTGGTTTAATCTCTTGGATTCCCCGGAAAGATTTTCGTAGTTCTTAGGGAGGGAAAAGTTGTACAAAATCTGCATTCAGAAAGGCTAGTGTAGTGAAAATGGGGGATTATAAGTAGTGCTTGGGATGCATTTGAAAAGAAATTTCATTGTCTTGGAACATTTCGATTCACGTACTACAAGTCTCAAAAACATCTATTTACAGTTGAGTATAGGCCACATGTAAACAAATCCGTTGTACCACTGCTTCAGAAAAGACTCCGCTTCAACAACCAGCGACCGATACTGAGACTTCAGGCGGTTACCCGAAAAATCCAAGCAGCTCTTTGAAAAATTACTCCGGATTTAGGTTTAAGAGCATCAACACTTTTCAGAGAAATTAACCGGCTGCATCTAATATAAATGCTGTAGGTCGTCAAAAAGAGGTATCCATTCATATCCTATGGGCAGTTAAGGAGAGTCTCACGGTCATCCTTGGCAGGACATTTTGTGAAGGCAAGGTCCTTGGACTTCTGAATGACTTAGCTAATGGGACCTTACCAGAACGTAAGCTGAGCGGTGAAATCATTAGAGTCAAGTACGAAGCCATTACATATATAGAAACGACCAAAGAGAGGCTCGGTCAGTCTGTCTAGTCACGTACTAAAATCCCTGAACACTCCTTTTAGATGTGAAGGCTTTGTGTGTGAATTTGAAAACGAGAACCATTTCCTCAGCTTACTGAATGGTCTTGTTAGAGCTTACGAATAAGATTTTTCTGACTCTGTATCTTAAGCAGACTTTCTGGGTAGTATGTGGATCATATTCCGTCTTTTTTTAAGTATGAATTAAACGTTTAAATGAACTGGTAAACAGAACTAAATGGATATATCTAGTTAGGGCTTTCAAAGCTTTCGGCGGTAATAATATCAAGGGTATGTTGAAGCAGCACAACTACTCATTATTTTTTGTTGGGAAGGCTTTCTATCAGTCGTAAACAATGGCAAATCAGAAACATGCACTATCTTATCCACCGTTCTCTCAGATCCCTCTTGGTGGGTTAATTCGTGTGGTGTTAGCAGAATTCAACGTACATACAGTGCTTAAAATTCACAACAAAATCAGCAGACACATGGTGAACTCTAAAGACCCCATCAGCTTAGGTGATCAAACTGAGCGCACCTGCAGAAACTGCTGTATGGAATACAATGTCACCTACAAAGCAGAGGCCACTAGGCAACAGAAAGCTTGTGGTAAAGAACGAAAAAAGTTCAACTGATTTCCAGGCCCAAACTTCTCGCAGCTGTAAAACCTGAAGAGTAAACTACATTACACGCCTTGATGGAAGGCCGCAGTTTTTTATTTAACCAAGACCAGCCAACTCAAAAAGGCCTGACAGTGAACGTAGTGTTACCGTGCTGAAGGCACGGTATCAGACCAAATGACGGTCAGTCAGCATTATCTGTTTGCTGGGGTCTTATAAACATCAACCAATAGCGTGACTAGCTTACGAAGCCCGCAACTCAATCAAGTGTGTCTGTCAAACCTTGGCTAATCGGACAAACATTTAAGAGTGACTGAGCACCAGTAACAGTCGAAATCTGTTTCCTCTGTCCTTTGTGAGACCGACTATTTCGCTTCCAGGGTTAGTCACATACGGTGGCAAACCAGCGTTGATCGTTCATGTTTGAAACGTTTTACCTAGGTAGGGATGCCTGCAGTTCAGCTCATAGAAATAATTAAGGAATATCAAACTTCTGAGAGGCTTTTTCACTTACCTGAGTTGCTTTGAAGCGATCACTACGCAGTTTGTCTAGAATCCGTGTCATCTGCTCATGACTTGCTTCCGCAGCTGTCAGACTTGCATCCGCCTCATCGGCTAACTGTTCTGCGCTGCGCTTGCTGTCCACAACGTAGGCAAGTTTTTCTTCTAGAGCTCCTAAGGTGACCTGTAGTTGCTGTAGACTATGTAACACATGATAAGAACACAAAAATTGAGACAGTTGAATGAACAGGAGCAGTTACGGAACTTAAAATAACTTGAACTGGGCCTAATTGAAAGAAAAACAGAAGAAAATAAACGAAACATACAACATCACCACTTACAGGCGCATCAAACATATGACTAAAATCAACAGATTCCTATCATTAGATCAGCTAACCATGGTAGTGTGCTCACACGCAAACCCTTGCAATCTGCCCGACCGATTCTCCAATCTGCTAGAGGTTTCGCGTTCCCTGTTGAAATGACCTAACTCCATAAGTAACAAAGTTCGAACCCTTTGTTAGTTGGTTCAGGCTCAAGCAGCACTTTTCCAGTTTGTAGCACTCAATATTCGAAAATTATTCTGATCTAACTCACTTTTCCGTTTTTCTGGCTTTCTCCTTTTTCAACTGGCTAATATTTATCCTGGTAGACTCCAGATCACTTGCCAATCTATCAACTGTCCGTTTGAAGGCTTCAAGCTAGTGGAGGAAAGAGCAAACGACACTGAATTAAACTCTACCTTGGCGACGATGCAGGAAAATAAGTAGAAGTGAAAGAACTCTGTCACAACATACGCATTCCCGAAGAGATACTACTTAAAAGTTTGCTTGAAATCATCCAATATCCCACTACTGGTCTCGGCCTTATTTCGGCTCATCTGACAGATGTATTGCCTGAGTTTCCGTCAACCTTGTGTTCTTCTTGTACACTAAATTGTACGCATCTATGGAAAAAATACACTCAGTTACAAAGTAAGTTTGTGAAGAATATCACAAGAGAAGCATTCATGTGGGATTTAGCTGATTCCGTCGTTAATGTCGACCTCATGTGTCAAATGGTATATCGCCACAACAGCTGCTCGTTCAAGAACTCTTCACAATGAGATTTTGTTATATTCGGGATATTCCCTTCTTATTCTGAACCCAGGTCTTGCTAAAAGATGATGAAGCACGAACACTTCGACAAGGCACAACCACCAACCCATCAATATGCACCGCTACGCTCCTTAACAACACACTGAGGATGTCAGCTCGATTGGTGGTGAAACGTTTGCAATCAAATTGCCCAGCCTAGCGAACAAACCAACGACCATACTGACTAGAAATATCGGCCTTGCAGTACTCCTATAGCAAGTCGCATAACATATCAACAAGTTTAAGAATCGACAAACACAATTATTTGCACATCAGCTGGATTATTCACAGGAGACTCAACTGACTCCCTCGTTTATGACGTATTACAACCGAATGTTCCGCACAAAGGCACATGCTTCAGTTGATATGATATTCGAGATATCGCAGTATATTTTCATAAAGGAAACTACTCACAAGGTTGGTCAGAACTTTTCGACAGCCCGCGACTGGTTTCGCCCTTCTTTTGGTCGATCAGGTAGGCGCAGTCCCCGACTTTCTATCAACTCTATTTTCTAACTGAACCCGAATTGGTCAGATTTAGAAAATCATATTCATTTGCATAGTAATTTGGTTTTGACGTTGGATTCGCGGACTGTGCCTGCCTGATGAGCCCCACTAGGGGCGAAACCGGTCGTGCGCAGTCGAAGAGTTTTCAGCTATCTTATGAGTGGTTTCTCTTGTGAATGTTTAGTGCTATGTCAAACAGATGCACAGTATTATTTTTCAAACAGCAGGCTGATTGTTCCAGCGCATCAACCGTCCTTACTGAAAATGAGAACAAAACCACCCACATCAAGTGTCGACTATAAAAAACACTACCTGGCGAAATGCATTCATTTGCAGACTAATATAGTTTCAAAAAGAGACTCAAATAAATCTTTAACAAAGGCCGTCTCATGTTGCAGCTGGTATGGTATCCCAACTGTGGCACTAAATTCTCATGACGGAACACTACTAAAAACGCCTTAACAATCCATTCTTCAGACTCATCCGATAGACGCTCTGCCCTTTGTTTCCGTCAACCTTATGTGTTACTTGAAACTAAAATGTACACAACTACCAACAAAAGTCATTGGCGAACTAACTCCACTCTAATGGAGACCCATGAACGGAAAATCCAGCTGGGATTCAGTTGATGCTCTCGTTAAAACCAAATAAGTTAGCAAATGTGTCTATTTTGTGGAACGCGTACAATGTGTGTTCATGTAGAAAATAAGCTTGACGAGAATTCGGGAATACACCTAACTGATGAGCCACAAGTTGGACGAAGCCGGTTGCCAGCTGTTGTTGTTCCAGTTTTTCCAGCAAGCATATAAATAGCGTGTAATATCATGAGCAACGCTAAGTGGCGTTTAAGGTGAAATTTTTATTTGTTGTTTGCAATGCAAAATGTACCAGCTTATTTTGCTTGGTGGCACCAAAACCAAAAACGTAGACGAAGGTGACCGAGGTAATCGTGCGTTGGAAAACACTGTAGACTAAGCATAATACATACAGCAAGATCATGGAAGCTTAATCAATACTTTTTCAGCATGGTCCCACTGAGTAAAACTCGAAACCACTAGTATGGTTTCCGGGGGCTATAAAAATGCTTTAAAGAATTGGTTGCTAACATAATCAGTTTGTCCTGAAAATGTGGTGAAACCCACCTCGCTAAGAAAGTTTTGTCTTTTTTCTTCGCTTTCCGCAAGCTCTGTCCGCGTCTTTCCAATCGTGCGTGCAAGTTCGTCTGAACAACGTTCAGCTTGAATCGTACTTTGTTGTTGCTCCTGTAGGAAACTTTCTTTTTCTTGATTCGACTCCTCTGCTTCGGTAAGCTTCAGTCGACATTCGTTCACCATCTGCACGCAGTGTAGCAGTGGAGAATTTTGGATTTCTTTAGTTACGACAAGACAAATGCAAATATTGGTGCGAGATGTTCAAATTAAGCGAAACCGCTTTGTTCCATTTTGGAACCGGTTCGTTCTATTTGAAACCCGCGAAATATTTGGAGACTAAAAAAGATTTAGAAGGGTCCTGATATGAGGCTGCTTGCATCGGCCGGGTTGAGAGAAAACCTATAGAGACATTCGCGGTGTTCTCAGCAGGCCGAGATGCTGCACACAATATCCATTCTAAGCTGGGTTCCGGAAAGGTTCATTGTCGTTTTGCCCCACACCACTCTTGCGTCTTTTCCAAACAAGCAAATACATAATCCATTCCATTAATCTCCCACGATTACTTGTCCTTTCGCCTTAAACTGACCAACGATTCTAATTTTGGCGGTTTGTTTTACCCAAACGTTTGTTCCGGATGTCGAATACAAACTTAGATCACAACGATGAGGTCGATGAAAACTCCTTACTGGCTGAGACTTACGTTGTATTACGGAATGACATGTGTTTAACAAACATCGCTTTTGACGACTGCTCATCACTCAAAATAAAATCCTGGAGTATTGGGAAAATCCAAAAAGGAGATGAAGGTGATTTTGTCGAGTGTATTATTCTTCTACTTTGATCATTGTTATCTGTTGACGCCATAATTCTGAGGGATAACCTGTCTATGAACCCAGTGACTTGTTATATTCAACTATCTTGGCAGACGGTGAGGCAATTTTAAAATTTAATTCCATCAAGATATTAAAGCGGCTACATAGTCATAGACATTACTGAATATTGAACTTACTTCAGTGAGGTTTCGTATATCCCTATCCTGCTGTCTCATACGAGCAACAACACTCTCCCATTGCGCAAGCACTTGTCCCCGTTCGACATAAGCCATTGAAATTTCTTGGCCAAATCTGTTAAGAGCAACTTGATTTTCTATTGATTTTGTATAGAGATTATCCAATTTGGCTTTCTTTTCAAGTCGCTTGGACGTCAAATGTTCCAGTTCCAGGTTCAGCTCCTAATAGATTTATAATATTGCGGGTACAGAAATAGCAAGACACTTACCTTCAGTTTGGAATCATCCTCCTTTATAAACTTCTGCAAACTTTTCATATCATCGTTTCTAGCTTCAAGCTTCTGGATCCATGCACCCAATGCCTCGTTGTTTGCACCCTGCATTGACGTAACCTTTTGTAGTTCATTACGTTTCTGAAAAGCCAAATTCTGTGGCAGCTAGTTCGAACCGATTTCTAGTCAATGTTACCTCCAAGTGGCTGGTCTTCTCTCTAATATTCTCCCGGAGTTTGCTGATTCGGCGAATTTCTTGCCGTAGGCGGTCCTTCTCTTGTTCGGCTGTTTTGAGTTGATGCGTTTCGCTGTCAATAACGTTTCCTCGCATTTGACAAATTGAACAAATATTATCAGTTTCTTGTTTAACATTCTTTATGTGATCTCTTAGTTGCTGAACCTTGGATTTTTCGTCATCAACTTCAGCCGACCTCTGAAAGAACTGACGCTGTAACTGATCAAGCTGTATAGATCAGAGCGATGGGAAGAGTTGCATAAGCTAACAGAATTGTCAAACATTTTTACGAAAAACTTGAACATGCCACTCATGGAAACACAACCATCTGTGGTGTACTGACTGACCTAATAGACTCTACCTAATATGCGCGTCACTTGCACAAGATACCAAATCTGCTGACTAAAATCCGCAAAAAGCCGACATAGGGACATTCAGGTTCTGAGTCTTTTTTGTACCGATGCAGGGTAATGAATGACGTCAACAATAAAGTGGTTGTCCACCTAAACAAATTAAAATATACGTACTGATGGAGAGAATATAATCAACAATCATTGAGAATTACAAAGATGTTTAATCAAGTGTGTAAATCTTGCAACATATCGGAATAAGACAGAGTTTTGATGAGTTATTTTTTTGGGAATTACCAACTTAGGTCAGCATCGGGAGTATATTTCATTCACTGACGCACAACTAATCGTGTTTTCTGTTGCCCTCAAAAAGTCCAATTCAGCCTAGTTTTTGTGTTATGCCTCACAAAAAACCCTTTTCGTAAATTGCTGACAAGCAAAAAGAACAGCAATTCATCAGAGAAAAACAAAATGTGGGAGACACTCGTTCTCTACATAGTAATTTTAGTTTTGCAACTCTATGCTGCAGAGAGACCGAATGTACCCATACAGATGTCTCACAACAGGTCTCTACCAAACCCATTAGTCCAAAAACGTCTCTAGCCCTCCGTTTCAAAGTAGTCTCAGTGAAGCGAAAAAATTGAGTCTTTGCACGGTTAGCCATGAAAGTAGCGTATAAAACAATGAAAAATAAGAAATTTTACTACCAAGATTTGGCAATAGACTAAATGAGGTTCCATTAAGACACTCAAAGCATGTAAACTTACAATTTTTTATAATAACTTTAGTCAGGTCAGCTGACATCGCTATCTAGAGTACTAGAACTGTGCTACCACCGTCAAGGATGCATCCACATTTTTGTTTTCCCGTGACAGTCAACAGTCAATATGCATGGCGAAAGACTTTTCCGCCCACAAATGATGGAATCCAGACTACATTCGTTTGTTTTAGTTGCACTGCCGGGGTAAAAATATAATCTGTCTCCTTCCGACTTTACGAGAAAATATGAGGTTAGATCCGCTTTCGTCTTAAGATATGTGTGGGTTCTATAAACATACCAGCGTGCTGATTATGAGCAGGTACTGCTGTCATTGGTACTGACAACGGTTGGTCTGAGAATAAGAGCTCTGAGAATAAGTACACCATGTAAGTCAACAGCTGTTGTCTGGAGAAAAATCGGGCTCTACGCAAACTAACTATCTATATCAAGTACAATACAGCTAACCTACCCGAACAATAAAAATGTTGGTTGTCAATCGAAAACATAAACACCATTCAACGGACTTACATAGTAAAGTACTATATGCAATGTTTGTGAGTTTTAGTGGATAAGCGGTAATATCGAAAGCATAGGCCAAAAGTTAAACAGGAAATAAAACACGTGCAACGTTTCCAAACTGATATTACTTGGTTTTAACTTCCCTTAGTTGCTTTATTTTATTGATAAATGGTTGTCCGGCAGCGAAACATCGGTTTTGAACACTGATGTCATGCTGTTGATGATGATGGTGATGATGATGATAAATGAACAGGTGATTCGGTCACATGTTCAGCGTTATACCGCACTAATTAGTAATAAGCCATTTTAGAACAAGTAGAAGATGAGATTCGGCAAACTTTCCATTAAAGAGCAAAATTAACGTCCATAAAATTCACGGTCAGTAACCATCAGAAGCAATAACATTATTTATATGAGTTAGCCCTATTTAAACTTCTGGCATTTGGCACTCTAATATCCAAGATCATTATCAACAAGTTGTTCGCAAAATCGAACTTGCCCGGTGAATGAGAGCTTGATTTTCCTCGTTTGCAATAGGTATTGCATGCGATTCATCCCATTTCAGTTGAGCCAATACTTCATACAAAACGTTGGAGCCACGTTGATTCAGTGTCATCCGCAGGTCGCAAACTTAAGAGGTCCTCAGGAGCTTGATAAAGTCAAAAGCAACGCAATATCAAGGGCCGAAGAAAAAATAAACGGAAGCAAACCGTTGATTAGTAGATTATACTTATTAGCTAATATTTTCCAAAATAAAAATACCTGCCTCAAGAAACCTTAGATTGACGAACAAAGTGCGCCTCATTGCATAATAATTTGACGCATTTAGCGTTCTTTCCTGTTCATTTTGGTGTCATGTTGGAGTTGATTGCACAATGTGATTACACAACAATCGATGTTATTGTTTGCCGGGCTGGAAAGGTGGACTGGGTTTGGAAACAGAAAATCCAAAGTCGCTACAGTAAAATATGATGAGGAATAGCCTCATGAGACGAAAACACTCAATTTTGCCTTTCGTTGCCATTGGAGGACAAATAACCAGATGCTAGGTACTTAAACCTTAAGTCATAAACCGGGATGGAAGCACGTCGATTGTCTCAGAAGTGCATTCCTGATGGGACTCTGAAATGAAAAGAACTAAGAATTCGCACGCTAATGCTGAGGAACAGCAGTAATGTTTGGAGAAGAATGTTTACATCTGAAAAACGTACACCTACGTCAACAAATTAGTTTTATCGGCCGATTTGCTTTTACGATACACGGAATGTTAAAGATCATACCAGTCGTTCTAGAATTTGCACAAAATGCATGTTAAAAGGAGGGTTATGTAAAAACACATTTCACTTGGTTGTGATTAAGTTGAACTTTCATGCTGTGGTATTTTCAGGCGGCCACCTGCTCGTGACGTGCCTAATAGTTCATATTTGTTCTTGAGCTCTCCAGTATCAGGGCATAATTTGGCTTGCTGTGGATAATCACACATTGGCGGAGTCGGTTTGGTGATTTGCTCAGAAAAAGCAATCTTATTTCCATAGGTCACTTTATTAGTTCACCATCACCAAAACTGGGTTTCTAAACAGAGTGGTCTCAAAAGCAGCTTTTTGGGAATGAAAATAGGGAAAGCGAAAGCGAGTAAAAAATACCGTTGCACGAAGTAATAACACTTGTCCTGCACAACCCCATAGAGATACATAAAACTTGCCTTTAGAAAGCAGTTTTATGTGTACAGTACGACAAATCTATCTTTGCTGACATATTATGGCAAGACTTGCTCTGCTGGACAGTCAAAAATATATTGGACTTTACCATGGTGTGACGGTTGGCTTACCCCCGTGACCATTAAAGCTAAACTGGGTGTGTCTGCGCTATACTTACAAACCGTTTCACGCCAAGTTGTTTAGTGTTCACATATCTGACCAACACAGTTTCCCGGCCTTCCAGGCTGTTGAGTGGAACGTGTGCGATGGATTGTTATTTGAGCATTATAATACACTTTCAAATCCTGCCAAACACTGCCTCCTGACGGTCCCTCTTTTAGTGCGAAGCCTTGTTCGAGGACCCTCATCCTTCTCCTCTGGATGCCCGTGTACAATCATGAGTTCGAAAACTATCAGTACTGTAATAACAAACCAACTGTTTTTTGTATCGAAACATCAATGTTGAACACTGGTGTTATGCTTTCGCTGATAATGATGGTAAATGAGAGTTGCAAATCTCCACAAAATAGGTGTATTTGACCGCTGGTATTCAAAAAATATTATAATTTACTTAATAAACGGCACGTACACCAGTAGCGCCAGTACTGGTTATCAGAAGCTAGTACTTCATTATAGACGGACCCAGAGGCACTGGCCTAGATGATCGCCAATTCAGTTGCCATTATTCTGCTTCAAATATCGCCATGATACCACAAAATAGCTGAACTATGGCCATAAGCTTTTAGAGTCGATGTCGGGCTACTCAGCCCCCATGTTGTTAACGACATCAAGCAAATTATGTGAAACATGACGATGACGTTTTTGGCCTTCGCATACAATCTTACTGCATAAGTGGTAGTCACTTTATGTGTTCTTGGACCTGGCCTAATTTTCTTTCAGAAGTGCCGCTATGGAAAGCAGAAAGAAGAGAGACTTTTCAACAATGCTGTCGTGGGATCCTTAAGACAAGTGATTGCGAGGTGCGGACACTACTACTCTTTTTATATCTGAATCCCCGGAAGTTTTTCGTGCTACTTTAAGAGTAGCTCAAGAGTGAAAAATAACCGAGGATTTGAGAGTCCTTCATGGTTTATCATTTTAAGACAGCTTGCTAATCACAATTAAGTTTTTGAAATAAAATATCAGGATTTTACCCAGAAGATGATTAGTCTTTGTTTTACCTGGCTTTAAGAAAGCGATGAAGTTGTAATCATTTTTTCCAACAAGCACGATAACAGTGAAATTAGCGTTACCGGTCAGTTTGACTTTGTCTGAACAAGGGCCTGGTGAACCTGTGCGTTTAGTTAATAAACTTGTGTCACTGCTAGCATTCAGAACTGCTTCTTTGTCTGGAAGAAGGCAGTTTAGATGACACAGGCGGCATCATATTTTCAGAAAGGTTTCGGGTTCGTAACAGACAAGGATGAAGCCTTCTTTGTAAGAAATATGATTTTGGTCGGGAGGTAACGAAACAAGAGGGACAACATTACAGTGCCATCTTCTTGAAGTGCATGGCCAGTTCCTTTAGCACTTCATTATTAACTGTGATTTTGACTTTCATCAAAGCTTTTACCCCCCTTGTATCCGTGGTTTGCAAGGCGGAATACCTTTAGAGACCTGTAGACATTATTAGGTCCTGTAACTAGCCTTTTTTCACTTCAGCAGATCAACTCCAAATAAACTACTAATATACTTTTATCTGCCAAACTTGAGTTGACGGTGGTGTTGAGTTGACAGTTTAATTTTCCCTAGGCAATGCTCAGGCCCGCATGTTTAGAGAGCTCTCAGCCGCTGGCTCATACAATACCAATTCATAAATTGCGTAGAGTTAAAAAAGAGCTAGATGACCGGTCTAACTTGAATGCTCTTTGCTATCATTATCTCCAGACATGAGACCCTCTT